AGCAAATAACATCTAATCGATGGCCAGCCTTCTTATTAGCAAACAACTTATTTTCCTCAGTAAATTGGTGGAGTGCTCCCATTCTGTTTCCCTTACTCTCTGAGCTCTATAATCTGTTTTCAGATCCGTTCTGCTCTGGCTGATTGGCAGCTCTGTATTTCTTAGCTTTGTTAGTTTGCTTCTGCATCATAATCTCACCAATACAAAAGTATTATGTTGGTTCAAAGCTGAGCATAAGTTTGTCTTTATTGTGGAGAAAGCTGATGTTTCTTGAATGACACACAACGGTACAAGTTATTTGTGTTTCTGTCCAGATCTGATCAGGGAGATTTTGACTGTGTTCCACTAACTTGTTTCAGTCGATGGATTTAGCTTATCTCTCCATCGATGGATTTAGCTTATCTCTCCATAACTTATGGTTCTTAGTGCGGCAATTTTTGACGTAGAAGAAACAAGGGAAGATGCCTCCAAGCTTCTTTTATTGGATATGAATGATGTGCAAAATGATCAAGACAAATGGGCTAAAACCGCTGATTCTGATCATGATGGTCTAGGGTTTCTTACTAAATTCTTGACTAGGAAAATAGGAAACCTCAAACTGCAATGAATCTCCATTACCCGTATTATCAATTAAAATGCTTATGCATCAGGTGATACATCTTTCAGTTGCTATTCCTGCTGCCATTTGTTGCATGCTTCAAAAACCGATTGATACTACAAGTGCAACGGATCTGTCAGTATTTCCAACACCATTTCCTTTCTCTAGCTTCATACTCGCTATCATATCTCAGCCTCCAGTCCAGTGTTCACATTCCCTCAATCACTTTTTTGATGTAACACTTGGAGAAGCGGAACTCCGTGAAGATCAAGTCTATATGGTTATGTACTTGGTAATGGTATCTAAACAGAGAAAATAGATAAAATTCAAGAATGCAGTGATTAAGCTGTCATTTGACACCAGCTGAGATGAGATTGATGGACGATTCAGGATAGCATACTTAGGCTACTAAAGAGTTGTTCTATATCCCCTCTTTATACCTAATTTATCTATTACTACTGAGTTGTATCACCAAGAATCTTCACCTGCGTAATTATTAAGATCATAAAGTGCTTTACTGTGCTCTTCTGTTCGCAAAAATTTGCTGCGCAATTCTGTTATTTAAGTGCCGTGAAAAGCATGATATGCATGTGGACTGTTGAGAAGTATCAGAGGTACGTCTGCGGACTCTGTGCCACATAAAAAGCACAGTGACCGTCCAGGATCAGGTTAAAAAAATGTGATTTTATCTATTTCATGTCATTCACGGACAGATTCCTCGTTTTTGTAAGTGTCGCTTTCTATGAAGTACCTTTCTTTTGGCTCTGCGTTCAGGCATTTATCTTGTCGGCTAATGTCATTTTCCTGGGATCCTATATTGAGGCTCTTGATTATCTCATTCATTTCAATTTCTTGATAGGTGTCTAGGGCATTTGGAGAAGGAAGAATTTCACTTGAAGAATATGTCTTCACTCTTAAGGCCGCAGTTGGTCTTGACAAACTGGTAGAAGCCATAGGAATTGGTCAGGGGAAGCGAGACCTCACTGGCCTCGTCGCAGAGCCATTGAAATCTAATCAAGCTATTCCTGCCTGCCCAGAAATACCTATTGGTAAAGCGTGCTCGAGGCTTACAACTGCACAAATCGTTGATTTTCTTACTGGGGGTTTCCGGTTAAGCAAAGCCAGATCTAACGATCTCTTCTGGGAAGCCGTGTGGCCCCGCTTGTTGGCTAGAGGGTGGCACTCTGAGCAGCCTGAAAATGGTTGTGTTACAGGTTCCAGGAATGCTTTGGTCTTTCTCGTTCCCGGTGTTAAGAAATTTTCAAAGAGAAGGTTAGTGAAAGGAAACCACTATTTTGATTCCGTGAGTGATGTCTTGAGTAAAGTCGCTTCAGAGCCGGGGCTTCTTGATTTGGAAGTGACTGAAGGATACGGAGCCAAAGGAGAAGAGGGGTGGGCCAATGAACCAAAATCAGAAGATGAAGATTCAGCTGACGAGGAACGCCATTGCTATCTCAAGCCTCGAACTCCAAGCCGAAGTACTGATGGCATGAAGTTTACGGTTGTGGATACGAGCATGGCTAATGGTGACGCACGCAAGTTGAGAGAATTGAGAAGCTTGCCGCCTGAAATTAATGTCCCCAGTTTGAGAGGTTATCCTGAAGAAGATGATGGGAATATTTGTGGGGAGCCAATCAATCAATCTGGCTCAGCTGATTCGTTGAGTTTTAGTACGGACGAGACTGATATCTGCAAACCTGTAAAATCTACAGCCTCTAAAAAGGTCTCCTCCGAGAGGAACTATGAAAATATTGCTTCAAGCTGGGGATCAGCTGATACTCTCCGTGATGCTGTGGACACTTCTGCCAAGATCCGTGGTGGACAGAAGAAGAACATTTCTAAAGGCAGCCGCCTGGGAAAAGCTGCAAAATGCGAACAGAAGCTGAAAGTGAGACCTAAGAATAGGACCCGCCCAGCTGGTGCAGAGAAAAAACCTCGAAAATCGAGTTTCTGCAATCTCAGTGAGACAAGCTGCAATATCGCCAATTTCTCTGCTAATTCCAGATTTAAACAAGAGGAGGCGAGTAGCTGCTCAAGCAATCCTAACGGTGCTGAGAAGATGCTCCTCACACCAGATCCCTCTCCCGAAGTCTTCCCATTTACAAGTTTGCCCTTGAGCCATCCCAATGGTGCCGAGAAGATGCACCTCACACCGGATCCCTCTCCAGAAGTTTTTCCATTTACAAATTTGCCCCCAAAGGGCAACCAGGTTGTACTTAGCAGCTGTGACCATGCTAATTCTCAATTGGGTTTCGGTGTGTCGCACGAGAATTTTCAGCCTGGGCAGGAATTGATAGACTTGAACTTGCCTGTCCAGCCAGATGCCGAATTTAGCGACAACGGAATAATGGCAAATTCGCAGAATGACATGAATGCAAGTAACACCACCTCGTCATGTGTAGCTAATCCTGAGCAGCAGCCTCACAATATGAATTCCAGGAGGCAGAGCACGCGAAACAGGCCACTCACCACTAAAGCACTGGAAGCTCTCGCTTTTGGACTAATGGACACGAAGAAAAAGCGAAGAACCAGGGATGAGTTCTCTGCAGACATGATGCCGCGGCCTTCCAGGCGTCTGGCTGGCAGGGCCCAAGTTGATGAAAATAAGACGACCCCTCCTGTGAGTTTGAGCCCAGAGGAGCATAGGAAGGACGATCTTGGAGGCAACACAAATGACAATCTTTAGATTTGATTCAAGAAATAACTGGCAAAGTCATTGTTCATTCTCAGTGGTCTCTAATTTGCTGGTTTCGGACATGAGAAGCGCCTTTCTTCAACATGGCCTTCATTGGGATAAGCAGTGAAGTCGGTTCTAATTTAGAGCCGAGCAAAGTATCGGTCTACTCCATTTATGTTCACTGCTCTAGCAGATCCATAAATTCTAGTCCGACCTTCCGGACCGGAAGCTCTGGATTTCACAGAATTGTTGTTGTCATATATTTTCAAGCGCATTTGTATTTTCATTAGCATGAACTGAAGTAGGAATGCTGCAGAAAAGTTTATAGAGGTTTTTTTTTTTTGAACATAGGCCAACAAATTCTGGGATTGCTTATGCTTCTTATGTTCATGCAAAATCACCTGTCAATACAATCCATCAGTTCTTCTTTTTCGTTTATAATTTTTTTTTCTGGTGTTGAATGTGATTCTAATTCATGTGTAGAAACATATTTGCCCACGATTCAGTTCATTAGTTTTGACTAGAAGACTTGACCCACATATATTTACATGATATGCTTTCATACCTCAGCTGACCTTGTTTGCCCTGGATACTCTCATATCTGTCGCTACTTGGCTCCCCCAAGAAGCAGGTTAAAGTTATATGTCCGAGAAAAGGGTCATCTTTTTTTTATTTGAAAAAGGGTTAGTGCCGAATACAAAAATTTAACACCGTAAATTTATTATCCCTTTTTTTATCACCTAATAAAATATGAAGTAAATCTATTATGCCTGACTCTCTAATCTAGGAATTGATAAGCGCTCGAAGGGAGGGATTATTGATTGAGTGCTAGAAATACTCATTGAGCGAACTTTATAAGAAAAGGAAAGGCTTACCTTTCATGATACTTATTGTACATGTTGCTTCCTATTCCCAACCAATCAAATTCAGAGAAAAACATATGACAATCATTCATTGAAATTTAAGGTAAAGAGAGTGAATAGCTTTTTGCAGAAGAAACAGCATCACAGGTAGAAAAGACAGACTGAGATTTAATGCCAGGTTAACTCAGGATGCGAAAGGGCAACTATTTTTGAGGCCATTTGGTTCGAGGAATTCTAGAAGAGATGGTCTAAAGATGAATTTCATTGATGGTCAGGAAATTCTAGAAGAGATGGCTACCGGGCTGCTAAAACTCTGATTTCAATCAATTTATGTACTAAATTTTTTATTTTTTTTTTCATCTTTTGTAATCAATACACCTTCGTTCCAATTCAACTAATTTTTTCTTATGAAAGGCTGACGTGCCTGCTCACCCGTTAATGACATGGTGTCCAACGTCTACATTTTGTGGAAAGCTTGGTTGGATATATTGCAATCAAAGTTCATCGATTATAAAAAGGGTAAGTTCAATTGATTGAGTAATCGAAGCCAAAGCTGAACGAATTAACTGCGAATTTCATTAAGGGCTCGTTTGTTTCACGGAAAACTTAAGATTTGAAAAATATTTTCCGAAAAAATGATTTGTTACATCGGTTAGAAAAATCAGTTAATCGAAAGTGTCTTCGACAATAATTTATGCTTAACTATTTTCCGTGAACGATGAAAATATTTTTTATTTACTCGTTCATTTTTGTAAGCAATACTGATCATTTTTCGGAAAATATTTTTTTTAAATCTTGAATTTTTGTTGTGAAAATTTACCAAAGGCCCAACGTGTAAACATATGGAAGATGTCGTTCAAAAAAGGAGCGGACCGGTACACACCAACAGCGAACCTACGTGGCTTGCGAATCTCCCGTTCAAGAACTCTCCTTCTCTCTCTCTCTCTCTCTCTCTCGCTGTGCAGAGAATCGCCAAAGCTTCGATCTTTTTGGCTGAAAGTGATCGAGTAGAAGCTCCATTGGTGCGTCGGGAAGCCTCCATCGTCTTCCTGGTGGCACTGCACTACCACAAGTGGGTGAAAGATGGGTCAGGCATTTCGTCGAGCGGCTGGTAGGATCAAGGCGGCGCCGGGTTCGGGCGTGGCCCAGCCTTCCAGACCGAAGCCCGTCGCGGATGTGCGGCCGCCCGTCGCCTCCGCCGGCTCGCCGGACGCCTCAGGTTACGTCCTGCGCCTGATCCCCCTCGGTTCCTCCGAAATTTGTAGTGCTTTTCTTGGGGAAAGATTTCTTTCTCTTTTTTGCGAGCTGGTGGCTTTCCGCTTGCAATGTTGCTTCTGGGCATTCTTTGTTTGCTTGAGAGTATTTACCTGGGAAATGTCAATGGAGGGTGTGCGCGTTCTTGGTTCAATCTTTCTGACAAAATGAAGAGCAGAAATTATTCTTTATGTTTGTTTCGTGAGGCTCAAGAGCAGGCTTTACTGATTGCTTATATATATCGTGCACTTGATGGCATTTAGCTATATGTTTCTTAAAGAAAAGGTTATGGGAGAGAGATAGTCGATTGATTCTATTTCCTCTTTTCGGATGGAATTATTAACTAGTGTTTATTGTGTGGATCTTAGGTTTAACATGATGGTAGCATGTTCTAATTCTATTCGGTTGGTGTTCTGAATTATGTTCTCATTCTCCAACTCTACAATGATGTGATTTTTCCGCATATCTTCGTTGTCGTGGATAGATAATGTCTCGAAGGTCTCAAGCAATCGACGGACAACCCCTCTTTGCATTTGCATTTGCATTTGCTCAAAATTGTGATTATCTGGTTGTTTCCCTCCAGACTGATGGTACAAATGCATCGATACCTTGTAGATGTGGCGGCTAAAGCTAATGCAGATAACGTCCTCGAAGAACGCGATCCCCAGTATGATGTGATGCTTAGCCAGATGGTGGGTCGAATTCAATCAAAACCTGGAGGGAAACTTGAGATGGGTGAGGTTCGTAAGCTGATTTTCTTTCTGTAATTGTTGATGATTGTGAAGTATGTTATTTGCATTCTGCTCACTAATTGTAGACGCGGTATACACCACACCTTTTCTTGCGAACTAGGAATATTGGGGTACAACACAGCTTTGATACAATTCTTGACTTGACTAAAAGTTGATATCGTACTCGAGTAATTCACTCTTTCGACAAAGTGAACTACCTTTCAACCTTTCCCCCCGAGTGCCGTGCCTTGGTTTGACACTCGCTATGAGCCTATGGTGCCACTTGAAGTGTCTTTACGGGACTCTATTGTCTTTTAGGAGAAAATTTACCGAGTTTTTGGGTAGCTGGATGGAAGTAGAAATGGGTATTTGTTTGCTCTCTTTTAAGTGTTGGAAGGCATGATTAACTCATTCTGTCTTCGTTGTTAATTATGTGGTGCAGCATTGCTTTAGGATGTTAATGGAGTTACTTTTTTTCTTATTGCTCCTCGTGTGCTCGCTTAGTTCACCATCCATTTCTACACTTTGGTTATGGACATATACTTTTAGGATAATAAATGTCATTTGGAACTAATCTGCAGAGATTATAGGTATATCCCACTCATGAATTTGCCAAAAAATGAGGCTAATGATGCTTGCGAGGCTCCAACTTCTGCTGAGATATTGACCATAGAATATTTACTCGTTGGTCTCATTCATCTCTGGAGTCCTGCTTTTCTGCTCAGTAAAAAATATATAGAAATGAATCTCTTTGACCTTTTTTCTGCATTTCAGCATTCCTGCTTTGTCTGAAGGCGATACAAATTGCTTGAGTTTTCTTCTTTTGAATTGACACACAGCCTACCTCATCTTGTTGTACATTCTACCATCACATAATATATGAATCTCAAGTTTGTTCTTCCCCTGCATTGATTTTGCAACTTCACCGAAATCTTCCTTCCAATACGCGTACAGGCCTTTGTGGTGGAAAAGTACAATAGGCCGATGCCAAAACTACGAAACACGAAACCAGATTCTGGTAGATATGAGGAGCAGCCGGTCCCTCAGGGAACTCTCAATGTAGCACAGGTACGCCAAATCATCCTCTTGCATCAAGGGAAAGCCGATGATCATAGCGGCCCCATGGGCATCCAGCAGATCGCCGAAAAGTTTCGGGTGGATGTCACACATGTTCAGAAGATCCTGCAGTTTGTGTCACTACCTCTAGAAGACAGCAGCAAAGGGAGTGCCAATAAGGACAGTTGACGATCCCCATGAACTTTGAAGCTTAGCTCGTGTATTACCATGCAATTTTGGTCAAATAAGAGATGATCAGATATGACAGAAACGCCTTTTACACCGGGTAGAATTGTCTTCATAGTCATCGTATCAGTGTACACGTCTATTTACGGCATGTTTGCTGATGCCGGGAGAATTTTTGTATGGTTTACGTTTACAGAACTGATCTTTTCTTTGACACATCGGGGACGTAAAACTGACTCTGAAAATTCAAGGTTTATGCAAATTTTTTCGCCAGACCTTCGGTCTGATCAAGAGCCTCCATGGCCAACAGTTCTAAGTACATTCACTGTAACTTTTGCGCGCATGAATTGTGCATCTCTAGATAAGGCCAAGCTTTTTGGACTGAACTTGACAATCACTCCAGGAGTGTTGGCAAAGGAGCCAGGCATTGCAAAAAATCCTAAGTAAGAAACGATAAGCAGGTCATTTCTTTACCTCAATCAATCTTAAGCAACTTTACAACATTCTCTGAAAAATGTGCAACATTCCAAAGTCAAGAGTATCTAAGATGTCTAAGCAAAAGATTTGCCTACTACGCTCAACTCTGAAATATATTTATAGTTGCCTTACATCAGAATTGGAACCTCTGCATTGAACACTATTGACTATTTCGAAATAATTTTTAGCCCCTTCCATTGAGTGGGGTACATTGACATATCTTTTTCAAGGGAAAAGAATAAGGGGAAAATATGAACATCTATATCTTAAAAATGAATAAAAAAGGGAAAAAGTAAAGAAGATAATCAGCTAAAAGTTGACTCGAACCAATGCGATGTTAATTCAAAAACAAAAAATGTCACAGCGCCAGCTGGTGCAGCCTTGATAGTGGAAGGCACTATGCCCTTATAAAGACCTGACCAACCCTCCAACTGCGGGATTCTATATAGAGCATCGAACATGTTCCGGTAAGTACTTGGCTCGACTCGAGCCCCATATCTCGGATGCCTCTGAAGTCCCTCAATCTGCAAATTCAGTGAGCCGGTTGCCAAAAATTACAAACAGATATCTAAAAGCATGAAGTATGCTGGACTGTCGAGCACTGTTACACTTTTCCATCATATCATAATAACGAAAAGGTCATAAATTCCAATAATTTGGTCCAAAACACTCGTCATGCTGGATAATCTGGTGCCGGTCAACCGATTCCAGGGTCAAACATTCCAAACATAGTCATTGGCCGCTCAATGGGTATATCTCAACGCTAACTGAAACTTAAGTATGCTGAATGCTAAAGTTTTGGCAGTATTGAGAAGATATATACCTGGAATCTCTTCTTAACAACATCCATAGGATGACAGACAAGTTTGGCACATGTCCCAGCAGCTAACCCACAAAGGAAAAGCTGAAAATTCGAAAGGCTATCATCCTCACTATGCAAGCCTCTTTTGGAGGATCTGTAATGGTTCCAAGTCTACAAATGGAAGGAGAAAACTCAATACACATACTGAACTTACACGAGCAAAAGAAAGGAAAGAACATCCTATGAACTCCCCCAATATTTTGGAACATGGCACTCCTAAGTCCCAAGCGACTGCCATTAAATACTTTTATAAACAACCAGCAACCAGCATTAATGCAACTAAAATCAGCATAAAGATTAAAGGAAAACTAATAGCAGCTAAATACCACACTACTCTTGGTCTCAAAGACAAAAGTGAAAACTAATAGAAGTTAAATACACCACAACCCACCCCCCACCCCCCCCACCAATCCAGGCCAAGAAAAAGAATCTCTTAATACATGGATAGTTCATTACATACAATGCAAGTATAATGCCTTGATATTAAGGTAGATTATTTTCCAAGCATTACAAATTGTTCAACAGAATATTCTCCCACGATTATGAAAAGTAGAGAACAAGGTCCAAGGTCCATACCATTGTCCAGCGCTTAAATGTATCATATGTGCCAAACTGCAGGCCAGCATAAGGAACAATCTCGATAAGTGTTGGAGATAATCCAGCATACAATCCTCGAAACCCACGAGTTCTGATTATATCCAGAAGTGCAGATCTCATGTTTGGGTATACCTATATTCATGGAACCACATGTCAAAGCCACCTATAACCTACTAAAGCCTCAGATCTTTGTAAAATATGGCCAAAATCCACAAAAAAACAGGAACCCTTCCGCATGAGTATCCACATACAGGCAGTAGCTATGCAATAGTGATCAATTTTCATGACAAACTTTAGAGAAGAGAGGCACCAACAAGTTCTCCTAATAAACAGTCCACGTAGAAGTTCAAACTACACAGAGAGAGGTTGCAGCACAGTCCTTGTTTATTAATCAGTGTAAACCATTACTTTTGACATGATCCCTAGCAGTAATTCACCAGCAATCTTCTTCAGATATTTCTCAATCATGTACCCAGCATCTTTTTCCTGGATGACTAATATCATTTATGTTAGGTCATACTTCCAAAGAAAATAATAAAGAACGTGAAGAAGAAGTAAAATTCGACCATTAACTAAACAAAAAGGAATACATGTAAACAATATTTCTTGTTGACTTAAAAAATGCTAACAAACACAGAATGTTCTATGCACTATCCTCTAAGAGAAGCTCTACCTTAGGTTCACCCTGTGAGGCTAATATTGTTCTTAGGAGATCGAATGGATATGAACCAATTGTAGCTGCACAACCAGCCAATGCCCCACTGACATAAGACAGATAGGGACTCAAATGCACTTGATCCTCTGCATCACAAAAGCAGATTATGTTTTAAGGAAACAAGACATATGGGAAAAGTAAGAGCTCGCACAATGGGACAAACAAATTCCTATATTGCACTGGCACATCGTTATGCAGGATTTAATAGTTCTAAGTATATACAAGTAATCATTAATTTTAAGCCATATAGGCAGGGCAATTTGGCTACGTTCAAATCATGGAATTGACTCGATATCAGGAATTGCAAAATGTTCCGATAGTTAGTAGTTAACTGTAATGTACCTGCCTTTGAAGAACCAGCTGCAATAGTTTTCAGTTTTTGCAAGACTGTAAACTGTATCGCCGTATATGGCACGACCATTAGTAAAGCCGGGACATTGCCACGCCAGAAACCCTGTTACACAAGCTATTACAAGAGGAAAAACGAAACAGAAATGCTTCATATGTCATTTCTAGTAAGACATTTCAGAGGGCATACAGCCTCTTCAAGAACTCACCATAAAGGCAGAAGACTAGATAATATAAGGGCTTCGCAATCTATCTAATTTTTCCCCAATTTCTTAAAGTGAAAGTATATTGTATCTGGGACCACCGTAGTGCAATCTGCCAACATCACAATCCACTACTTTGATCAATTTAGTTCATCTGGACAGTCCCATGACACTCATGGACATGAAAGAACTCGAGCATTAACCATTAAGCCCAAATTCAAAGTTTAGTCTCCAACTGTCTAAACAAGCTTTTACTCAAGCTTCACATCAAGGAACAAGTAAATTAGCTCGGTCGTTATTTTTCACCTATCATCGAAATCAAACTTAATCACGGGTAACCCGCAAATACCCAATTTCCGATTTGGTTGTATCCACTAATTCAGATATCGAGGGAATCGGCATTCAATGACAATAATTCAATAAGCACAAAGTAAAGATACAAATTTTCCACTGATAAAGGGAAAATTTAGCACCTCAAGGCATCATACCGGCAAACCTTCCTCCCTAAAGATATCCTTCGTCGCCTGGAAAATCCCCGTGTACTTCGACCTCACGGGCAAATTACTCCCCAACAAAGCCCACGTAGATGTCGGCTCCAGCTGAACCTGCAACAAGACCAAAGAGTTCAACTTTCAGCATTTGCCCAATTCGCTGATCCCTCCAACACAGAAGCAGGCTCTCATCACAACTCGCACCGCGGAACATCAATTGCGCCGGAAAACCCTACCCGACGAACAGAAGACGCACAAGAAAGCAAAAAGAAAGGAGCAAAATGGTGTGCTGAAAGCGCGACCTGAAATCGGATTTTGATGACATCGAGCGGTGACGTCACCGTCCGGGACACCGCCCCGGCAATTGCGCCGGCGGCGGCGTCCATCAGCGCGCGCTTGACCTGCCCCGGCTCCTCCATTCGCCGGAGACCGATCCGACGGCGCCGCAATCTGCCCGGGAAGAAAATCATCAAGAAAAGCGTCGGAAATCGGGAAGGAAAACATCCGGAACGAGGAGCGAAATGCGAACGGATTACGTTGTTCCTCGATTGATGGAAGACTTACCAGAGAGAGATAGAGATAGAAAGAGAGGGGTGGGACGAAACCCTATTCGACAGCGCGGTTTATTTTTATACAAGCATATTGAAGAAGAAGAAGAAGAGGAGGAAGAAGAGGATGCTCATTGCTCTTTGATCCTTTTTGGATTTTCTTTCCTCTTCTCAGTTGCCATTATTGAATAGGTAATTGAACGCCTACCACAATAGGAATGCTAGAATGTGTATGGGAAAGTAAAAATAAAATACCAATATGGTTTAGATAGATTAGCTTGTTCGTTATGGAAACGGAATGATCTAATTATAAGCACCGAGGTATTGGGAGGTGTAAGGAAAACAGTGGGGATGAGTACGACTAGCCTCTCGATGCACATCCAAAAATATATATTAAATTACCAGCAAATGATGGATGAATGTATAACTTCACAATGGAATGAATATAATCACGAGAAAGACATTCTTGTTCCACAGCGTTAATGCCGATTGTTTCCTCAAAGTAACGATAGAATCCTTTGTGTGTGTTATATTGATAGAGAGGAAATATATGTTCTTTTCTGTATGTATGTCTATTGTCTATTTTCTCTCTCTGTGAGGAAGTTATATTAATTTCCCTCAAGAGACAACTTGTAACATTCATGATTTTGGCCATGTGAAATGGCTATGGAACTGGTGTACCGATAGTGGGGGAAATCGGCCATGGACCAATTCAAGGAACCGTCATGAACCAATCAATCCGACCGGAAGGGTAACCAAGGGGTTAACCATGGTCAAATCGAAGGATCGGCCTTGGAGCGATCAAGGGATTGGCAGTGAACCAATCCAATGACCACACAAGTGACCCAAGCTATTCGATCATGGATTGGCTGCTCGATCATAAGGATTGGTCGTGGGACGGTCATGTACCACCACGGATCGAGGGGCGATCATGGATCGATCCCGCGCGGTCCTATTCCGGTCACGGGTGATTCCACACGGTCATTTACCGACCGCGGACAATCATGGATCGATCCGTGCGACCGTGTGTCGGT